ACTTGAGTACATTTTTGACTGTGTATTTGTACTTTTACTTAAGTACATTTTTTGAGTACTTTCTCCACCACTGGTGTTTGCACACTTCCATCAACAGCAGAGCTTATCGTTAGCTTAGCGCCAGTTTCTGATATGGCTGACATGGGCAACCACCCAGGGCGGCATCTTTATATTTCAGTAACAAGATGGCAGTAGGCAGCTTGAAGGTGCAAAAACAGTTACGTAAACGATAAGTCTTAAATTATGCTGTAGGAAATAACGAAACACAGCGAGCTGTGAGTCAGCTCCTCTTATATAATAACTGTATTTTAGATCTGACCAGATTACACAACAACGCCCCTGGGCCTGTATGGAGAGAGAGAGAGCGATGGGGGAGTACGTGAAAAACCGACGGCCTGAAGCCAGCCACTCATTAACTCAACTCCCTGGGTGGCTGTCCAAACCACATTCCTCTCACACCCAATTAATGTTTGTCAAGCTGAAAGGGTCCCTGAGTCGCCATGGCAACCTGAAGGCGTCGCACTAAACGACCCGGCCTGGAAGAAGACTCCAGGTCGGCGGTGCCCACGGTGCCGAGGGCGCCGCTAAAACAGAGCCACAGGCGTCTCTGTTGGCACAAAGACAGCTCACAAATTTATTTAAAGCTGAACCCACGGCAACACACACACACACACACACACACACACACACACACACACACTGAATGAGTAGAAAGGTGATTTAACGGCTGCAGCGGACCGTCGTCGGTTAACAAAAAGCCCCTGATGGGCGGTGAGGTCGCCGTGGTAACCTCAGTGACACCGATATGTGAATGTGTGTCAGCAGAGGCGAGCGCTCCCTCTAAATGACCCGTTTCAGTTCGGAGGGTCCGGTGTCAGCGTGGGACAAAGCTGTGATGAGTAACTCTATCAGGCCAGGGTTCAACAAAATAACAGGGCGACACGCCACCATCAGGGGGGCAAGAGGCTGGCTGCGGCGCTGCCTGCAAAAATAAACAGATGGTAGCGCTGCTAGCTTGGAGCTACAGAGTCGGTGGTTTGAATCCCAACCTGACTCTCCCTGGGTACTCCTCCTTCCTCCCACAGTCCAAAACATGACTGTAGGTTGTCATGTTAGTAATCGATTATTCTTAATCGATAAATCGGATAAAAATGCAAATAAACAAATAATTCACTGAATTTTTAAAAAATTGTAAATAAACATTGCATTGCCTAAAATGCACTAACAGCATTCCTGTAGTGAACACAAGGATGCTGCAGCTAATAAATCCTTAACATCAACGTGAAAATCTCAGGCCTTTCAGCTTTACTTAACATCAATACGGTGTAGAAATGATCTGTGGATTATTTTATTGATTTACTGATTAATATCTGAATAGTGGTGCTAACTAGGAGATTTTTAAAATGATCTTTTATAGAATTTAAACCGGATGAAGCTAAAACTGTCACTTGGAAAGTTCAACATGCAACAAATTTAAAGATTTTTTTAATCTTAAATGCAAAGTGTATAAATTTTTTGTATAGTTTTGGTTTAATTACTGCTCTGAGTGTGTTGATCTTACAGTAATGGCCATTTTTTCTGTTTGTATTCCAGTTAACAGTTAATTGATTACTAAACTAGAAGACGGTTATTTCAATAATTGATTAATTGTTAAAATCTATTTATAGATAGCAGCGGCCATTACTACTACAACAAGTAGAGCGCTGCTGAGGAACGCTTAAGTCCTTCTTCTGCAGGTCGTTTTGGGGTCAGAAATTGTTCACACAGAAGTCCGACTGCTGCCTCATTTAATTAGCAACAGAAACAATCACAATGGATTTCAGCAACAACGAAAAAAAGAGTCAGACGCATAACCATCAAGATCTGCTGTGTGAACTTAGCTTATGAAATACCAGACATATATATTCATTACTGCATATAATGTTATGATGAAGACCGGCTCACATCGGCATGCTAGATGCTTGAAGTGGCAGACGATATCTGGATTTATTCACTGGTTAATACAACTAAAATGTTTCACCCCTTGCAGTGGCAACATAAGAGACTGTATAAAGTTTAATGCTTAACAAAATGTGCTTCACTTCATCCCCTTTGGGCATAAAACAGATTAAATATCAAAACATTATAAGCTCTACATTATTAGAAGCATTAAGACATATTATAATGCGCATTAATGAGGGAAAAAAAGAAATAAATTTAAAGATTAGCTGAAAGCATGAAATACCTACAGGTCCTGAAACAGGGAATTATGCCTATTGTGGTGTAAAAGGCTGAATGTGAGCTTCAGCAGTGAGTCATATTACATAAAAACAAACACAAAGAAAAATCCCCTCTGCTGTTCAGGAGTGTGACGCGTCAGTTCAAGGCAGCTGCTTGCATTTCATTCTGTGATGACGCAGGTGCATTGATGTCCCAACTTAGAAAGTGAGGAGGGACTTCTGAGCACTTTAACATCTTCAGTTAATGCCTCAGACAGGCTGCAGTTCTCAGGTTAATGAAAGAGAATGTGTGTTTGAAGAGGTTTTCCTCCAGCCAGCGATCAAAAGATAGAAATGGCAGATCGATAAGTTTAGCAGAGCAGCACCAAGACCATAGCTTGGTTTTATTACTTTGAAACATTTTTTCCCTATGTAGTTATTAAAACTGCAGACAAACAAAATATGGCCTACGTATCACTAATTATGCCTAAATTAATCCTTTATCCAGTAGAAATGTGAAGCAACCAGCTTCTTTGTGTCTTCTCCTCCTTGTGAAGGACGTCCATGTCTGTCTTCTGGACATCTGTCCAGTCAGCAGTCTTCCCCTGACTGACGCAGAGTGAGAGACAGTTTAAAAGCTCAGGAAACATCTGCAGGTGTTTTCACTTAATAAATAACACCATGAGTTTCCATTAATTAACTTTTTCACAGTATTCTAATTTTTTTAAGACGCTGAAGTTTGGGTTTTCATTTTCTATGAAACAAAAACGTGGAGTAAATCACCTTGAGGTTTATTTTCTGAGATGACTGTCTAGAAATATTGAACTTTTGTGCAATATTCTAAAATTCATGTCCACTAGAAACATGAGTGCTGCTGCAAAGTGTTTCTCCATTTAGTGGCGAGCTGAAAGCTGTGGTACTTTCCAGGAAGACTCATCGACGGGTTAGCCTGGGTGTCAGAGGAGAGGACCCCTCACAGCATGGGGGCCTCGGGGCCCCAGGGCTAAGAAGTCATGCTCTTAGAGACAAACAGGAACCCTACACCACTCTCTACTGGTGCAGGAATAGCACATGTCCCTAATAAACCATCCAAATAATGTTTTTATTTTACAGGCTGCTGATGGAAATAGAGTTGGTCGCTTTGGGGACGAATATCACAAAAACATGCCAACCTCTATAATTTATAATAATGAATAAGCTGTTTGACAGGCAAGAATAAAAACTCAGTTGAAGAAGTAAACAAAGAAATTAATAACACGTAATCTCAGTACCTTGATAAGCAGCGGAAATGTCCGTTTTCTCTCCTTTAAATGCTTTTCCAGTTTGTGTTTGGAGGCATTTCTGAGGAAAAAGCAAACCCGAGTTTCACTTAATTAAGCAACTGTTTCAGATAATCAAAGTAAATTTAATATCAAAGATAATGCGAGTAAAAAAGAACATATACTCTTCAAATGTTGATTTATTAAGAAGCAGAAGTCCCCTCTGTGAAAACGTGATCAACCGTCCTGTTAAATCATTAACTAGATGTGGTTAACCGCATTGTTTCGCTAGTTACAGCCAATCCTAATTACTACCTACCCTGCAGAATTAATTCAATTGAACCAGTCTGACAGCTCCCTTCGCGACCACACTAAGCGTGCAAGATAATGGATGGATACATGAATGAATAAATACAATTTTAATTATTAATTCATGCTTAGATGAGATTACTAAAAACAAACAACTTGTCCGCTAATATCAATATTGTTATCTGAGCTAATTTCTGCCACCAACTTCTGACCAATCACAAACCGCTCACCAGAGCTCGTATCGATGCTACGGCATTAGCTTAGCTCTGCTGTAGCGTAGCTAAGCTACTAGAGTATTAGCGGTGTGCTCAGACTTCATTTTGCGAACCTTGAACACGGTGAAGCCCATTCCGAACTCGGTCTTGCAGGGAAATTGGTTAAAAAAAAATAAAATAAAATTGATAATAAAAAAATGTTTGGCCACAATGTTGACGGAGCCGGTGGAATCTGTCACTTTTTGTAGTTTCCGCTTTATTGTGGTGCATTCCGCGCATGCGCACGTTCCTGTACCGGCTGCGTGGCGACGTCAGGACGTCCTGGAGGATTTCTCTAATATTCAGATAGCAAAAGTATTCACATTTTAGGGTTTTTTGGAAAACAAAATTGATTGACATAATATGATAGTACTCGTATGAATTGAGACATTTTGAGTCACACTCTACATCAGAAGGTGGCTTTAATGCAACCTAAACATTTCTTGCCAACTGCCAATAAAATTGAAGAAGTGGATTTCTTTGCATTTTTTTATGTCAGTTTTGGGTCATTTTATGTTGATTCTAAATTGCAGCAAACAATAATCAGGATTCTTATATTAATCAATGTTTTGGCACACCAATCATCAACACTTCAGCGACTCATCCAGGAGGTACAGAACCCAGAACATCTAAAGCTCAGTCAAGTTCCGGGTCAGAGGTCATGATTCAACCATAAAATAGAGAGACTGGGCACAAATGGCCTCAAAGGGAAAGATCCAAAACAAGTACCGCTGCTGGCCCAAAAGAACACAAAGGCCAGTCTAAAAAGCAGCATGATGATAATCCTGAAGACTTCTGGGAGAATTTTCTGTGGACAGGGTCAATTTTTAATAAATTAATTAAATTGTTTTTTATATCTTATCTTTGATGAAAATCTGTCAAGAAAAACTAGCATACGGTAAGTTTGCAAAAAATACAGTGAATATGTTTCAGTGAAGCAAACACAAAATAACTTATTCAAAACCTGCTGCATTAAAACTGTCCCTGCTTTTATTGACATGAATTTAAGAAACAATATTTATATTTTAGAAACTCCAGACAAAAACTACTCTCCATGGTTAGTTCTGTAATATGCATTCTGGAATAAATAAACAGCAACAAAGAAATTATCTAGAGTTTTTGAGTCATAACTGGTCTTCAGTTGGATTTTTGTACAGTGACACCTTCTGGACTCAGTTATTAATATAAACCAGGAGTTAGCATTTAGCGTATCATTTATCATGAAAAAGAAAATCGTATCAAAAGAATTTTGATTTATCATCATGATATATTTTAGCTATTTGGTAACTAAGAAAACAAAACTGACAGTCTGATCAGAATTTTTTGATATTTTCTACACTGTTTATTCCAGAAGAGTATAAATTAATTTTAGTAAATAAAATAATAAAAAAATGGTTAAATGCATTAGTTCAGTGATGTAAATCACACTTCTTTGAGTAATCTCAAGTACCTCAAAATATTGCTATGTTTCTAATTTTGCCAGCCTCTAACATCAACACAATTATTATATCAGCATAAAGTTTTAGTTTTTTCCCCCCTAATTACAAACAAACCTTAAATAACGAGATAAAAACTGTCTGACCTTTTCTCTGTTGTCTTGCGCGGTGTGTTCATGGTGATAACCCCCAGCTAAGGTCAACCGGACACCAGAACCGGCACACGGCGGACAGCTGGACCCAAACCCAGCGGCGCAGTGAGCAACCCGCTCTCATACTGATTCACCTTTATGCTGACGCAGCTTTCAGCCAGGTGCTCAGGTGTGACAGAGAGTCCCACCCCCCACCGGGGTCTATGCTTCCCGCATGCTGCCGCAGCAGGAGAGCAGGTCCTGGCTTTCACAATCCTCCTATTATTCATTCAGTCTTCAAATTATTATAAATACAAACGCTAAGTGGTGAGAAAACATCTGAAGTCATGCGAGAAAGTAAAGGAGTGATACCTCTATAGCTCTATAACCATCTCTGCTCACAGCAAATCCAGGAAGTTTTCATTCCTTTAATTTTGCTCAGATTTTCTTTTTCTTGTAAATATAAATGTACAAAAAAAAAACTTGTAGTTTTTTCCACAGATCATCGCTCCCAACAACCTGAAAAGGTTTACAAACATGCTGGTATTTGCAGGTTTGACTCATTTTAAATAACATTCCTGCTGTGAACTTCTTGCCCATCACAACTGATTGATGATATGATTTACATTTAAATCCCCTGTTAGAAATGAAGTAATCAACTGGTGAAAAAACAGATTTCATTTTATTTTGAAGATGACAAAAGGGACAAGTTTGAGTCATAAGGTTTATTACAGTGGAATCGATGTAGCACCAGTCAGAGAGAAACATTCAATTAGTTTTCAGCTTATTCTTCTGTTAGGCAGTAAAAACCAGAGCACCATGTGAACAGAGCATAAAGCTGCTTCAGTTTGCAAATAAAAGCAAATAAATGCTCAGATTTATTATCCCCTCTGCTCCGTCATCTTTTCTGAGCAACACTATCAGAAGTTTTATTATCTTACTAAATTTTAGGGTTTTATGTCCTTGTTGGAACGTAAACAACTGATCAGATGTTTGCTAAAGTATTACTTCAGCTTGTTTTGGTCTAGCAACTAATTCAACCTACTTTCTTTTAAAACAAAACTATGGATATATGCCGACTTTTATTCATGCATGTTAATAACTAATATTTTATTATTTACTACACCCAAAAACCTTTCGGAGCCGATATAAAACCCCAGCTGCTCTGTTCCAGCCTTCACTCATCTGGAATTTATTCTGCTAATTATTTTGCCTCCGAGATCATTTTGGGGTTTAAAGCAGCAATGTCAGCCCTGCAGCTGGATTTATTCACTCGCTGTCCGTTAAACGCTTCGCAGATTTACGAACTCTGGGCAGAACGAGGACGAGCGCCACATGGTCCTGGTTCTCTCTCTGATGACCAGTTTGTTTGGATTGTTGCCGGGAAAAAAAATGAGAAAACACAAAAAAAGTTTTTACAAACAGCTTTGGTCCACATCGGGCCTCTCCTTTGTTTTCCTGAACACCTTCAGCATTTCTTTGGTTGGATAGCAGGACGCCAGGCGACGGCTCGATGAGGAGGCAGGCGGAGTGAAAAACCTGAGATCTGTTCAGGTGGGAGGAGATCAAACTGGACCGGGTCAACATCTGAGGCCGTATTAAAGTCATCTGACGACAAACATCCTGTTTTAACAGCAGGAGGAGATGATGATTGGAATAAACAGATTAAAATCTCAGAGCTGAAAGAAGAGCTGCAAAAAGCAGAATCTAAACAGGATGTTCATCAGCTGCTCTCAGGTTTTTATTCATGGAACTGTTTCAGTTGATTAATCGAGTCACAATCAGTATATTTCTCATTTCACCTCTTAAGCTTATTTTGAACAATATTAGAAATACTTTAAAAACTGCAAATAAGCAAATAATTAAATTCCTTTTTAGAATAAGAAAATCTATATTTTATTACCTAAAACTCAATAACAGCATTCCTTTAGTAAACCTTCTAATATTTGTATGAAATCTGAACCAGGTGAAGCTAAAATTGCCAGATTTATAGACAAAGCAAGTTTTTTATCTTTAATGCAAAATGTTGATATTTTTGTACAGTTCTGCTCTGACTGTGTTGTTCTCTCAGTAAGCATATTTACTCCAGTTAATTATCAGTTAACGTTTATTTCAATAATAAATTCATTGCGATAAATTTGATTAATCACTTCAGCAGAAGATATTACAACTGATTTATGTGGAGAGTTTTAAAACTAAACCTCTGATCAGCTGATGAACAGGTTTTAGTGTTTTGTTTTCCCTGTTTTGTCTTTTTGCCTTTTGAAGCTCTGGAACACGGCTACAATAAACAAGATAATAACTGTAATCTTATTTCCTGGTCTTAAGCTTTTTCATGCTGACTGTAAGAAGATCAAATCCGACGTGTCTTCATCCGAGATGCTTGTGATGATGCTTCTCGTAGCCCACTGCATTGTTGGAACTGGATCCTGTCAGGAAAACAACATTCAGCTGCAGGTCGGCTTCATTTACCAGCTTGAATTTGTTCCAACTCTCTAAGTCGTCTCACCCAAGTAGTCCTTGTAGTCCTTAAAGTATTTATGCCTCAAACCTCGTCCATCTGCAGGCAGACAGCAAAAACAAAACCTTGCATTAAATATCTTCTATTCATGACTTGTACTGAACTAGAATTAGAAATATTGGTGTTCTCTCCTTCAAAACGAGAATATTTCTCCCAGCAGTTTTGGAAATCAATCATCAGCTCATCTTGTTTGTTTTCCATGTTGTTCCAGTTTGAGGCATTTAAAATAAAAAACAACATTCTGCTCCACAACAACAAGCATAATGTGCTTTTTATCTGGTTTTATGTGAACCCCAGGGGTTCGGTGAACCTGGATCCTGTCAGGAAAACAACATTAGATAGAACCCCAGGGGTTCGATGGAACCTCAGGGGTTCGGCGGAGCCGATGCCGCGGAGGTAAAGACACACTGTGTAAAGTCATGATGACGCCCTGCATTGCCATCACTTGCTGCAGAGGATCACGTTGAACTTCTGTCTTTAATTACTTCAGCAAAACTCAGTTTTTACCAAATTCTGTAGCTTTCGGTGTACTTCTAAATCTGCTCCTTAGTCGCATTTTTTAGGGGTTGCTACTGCCTTTAGTGGCGTGGGGGTGGTAACACAACTAATATAATTACATTACTGAATCAGAATACCGCAAAGTCTTTATTATTTATTATTAATTTTTCATTCTCTTAAGAATGTAGAGCTAATTAAATGATCTAAAGACCTTAAAGTGGTTCCAGTTTCTTTCGATGGCCAACCTGTTGAAACTGTGGCAAATTTTAAATACCTTGGGTCGTTCCTGGACAGTCAGCTCAACTTTGCTGAAAACTGACTATATTTTGAAGAACTGTTCTCAGAGACTCTACCTTTTAAGAAGACTTGGTGATCATGGGGTGACCCAACTAGACTCTAGCTGGGTCACCCCTATGTCTTGAATTTTGGGGGGGAAATCATATTTTATTTATCGCTACAGAAGGGTTCAGTGAATGCGCATATGAAGCTGGTGGGTTCGGTACCTCAAAAAAGGTTAAGAACCACTGTGCTAAAAGCAGTTAGCCTATCAGTGAAGCTTCAAGCCTAAAATAGCATCTCAATGCTAAATATGTAGCATCTAATGCTGATGCAGTGCACATTTCTAAAGAAGCTCCATGATCAGGGCTTCCTGAAACTCCGGGTTTTGAGTTGAAAATGTTGCTTATTTTATCGATATATCGTTATCTGTTAGTGTGAACTGCATCTCCAGTTCGACCGTCCAGCCAGCAGGGGGCAGTAAAGTCGTACCGGAGTTGGCGCGTTGCTTGATGCACTGGCCCCGGTTTGGGACCCCAGCGGCGGGGTTCCCGGGGTTGATGATGTGGCACTCGTAGCCTGTGGGGCAGTGAAGAGGCTCGTCTCCGTCCTCCGTGGTGCTGCATGCTTCCGCTGGCGGACAGACGCACACAAGTTTTTATTTGAGAATACACGCAGTGATTTAAAAAATGAGTCAGATCTGGGTGAATGAGACCCACAAACACATTCACTCAAAGCAAAGACATTTAGTTAAATTATTGGCTGAAATATATGACGGCGTGTTAGGGCAGGTTGAAAAAAGGAGGACATTTCAACCAAAAAAAATCTCAGAAATGTGATTGTGAAGCTGCACTGATCTTATCGCCCAGTTTTCCAGTTTTTTACTGAGCTTAGCGGTGCTCCTGTTGGACCCACCTTGCAGAACCTCCTCCGGTCCGTCCAGTAGCCAGCCGTTTCCTCCCAGCCATCGAGGTTTGGGCTGAACCAGCCAGTCCAGAACTGCTCAAAACAAACAGCTGATTATCACCGGCCACTGTGAATCAGAACCGGCTGAAAGCTGCTGGATGCTGACCCGGTGGGGGCTGGACGGACTCCAGGCAGGCGTAGATGCAGCCGTTGTAGCAGCAGCGTTTGTGGCGCTCACATTCGGAGTCGGAGCGGCAGCCGGGAACGTCGCAGGCCCGCTCCGGCAGCATCTGGGGCGGCGGCGGGCAGCGGTCGTTCTTCTGGTGCTGCGCGGACTGCGGGTGGCTCGGGTACTCGTAGTCCTGAAAGACAGACGGACGCTGGACTGAGAAGCTGTTTGTCTTCCATGATGACCCCCGGCCTCAGGGTTGGACCTCCTTAGGTCAGAGGAAGAAGCTGTTTCTGATGGGCGGCATGAGCTCCTGGACCTGGGGATGCACCGATTTTCACTTCTGATACCGATATCTGAGGCTGATACAGAAAAACTGCTGAACTGACTCAAACCATTATTTTTTTAAGCATAAAGGTGCTGAATTACAAATTTATTTCAGTACCAGTACAGCCCATTTAAAAACATCAACACCACAACGATAGGACACTTTTCATAAATATTTAACTATTGGTTAAATTTAAAAATAAATGATTGTAATTGTATTTATTTTCTACAGTATTAATTTTGTATTTCATAGTTTTTGTATTTGTATTGCATACTTTTAAAGTGACAGCTTTATGCACCATTTTGTAGCATAATTAAGTAACTATTTTACCTTCAGTTGTTAAAAAAATTCTATATATATCAAATGTGACAACAGAAATTTGACTTCATAATTTACAGCCTTGAAATTGGGCCTCTGTCTCTTTAAGAAGCTCCTGCTCTTTCTGAAGCTCTGGCTCCAGGAAGTCATCCCAACATGGCTCCTCTTTAACCCTTAAATGTTTTTACCAGCGCTGCTCTGAGCAGCAGCTCCTATGAGGACCTCAGCAGCTGTTTGCTAATTGCTGTTGGCTAGTCTGAAGGAGCTGAGTGGGGGAGGAGCTGCGTCTCGAAGGCGGGGCTAGGTCCACCCAGGCGTTTTTATACAGCTGAATGGTTGCCATGGAGATTAAAGGATTTCTCAAACATGCATGAAAGAATCAAGGCAGCACTCCAGGTTTGTCTGTGATCAGGGAAAAACATGGAGGAAACCTCAAAAATGTTAATTTTACATAAAAATACCCTTTAGCTTCATGATATAACATGTTTGTGTCTGTGGTTGTTTTTACTTTTATTCTAGTTTCTTTCACATTTTTCAAATTAAATATTAAAATACATTTTGAGTTTGTCTGATTTAAATGTTATGGCGGATGAAGCATGTTAGCACCCCCTGGTGGAGGGGCAGGGAGAATGTGGGGGGGCTGGGGGGGTGGGGCAGCGGGGTTATTCACCCAGGGCCCCAAACAGGCTAGGACTGTCCCTGGAGGGATCTGCAACATTTAGAACCCAAACAACCATTCTGACCCTCAGTCCACAAATTTAGAGCCACAAAAGAAACTGTTTTTCCAAAACCAGCAATTTATTTCTATTCTAAGTTTCAAAATAAAGATAAAACATAAAACTTTTGAGTTTAGAGGATGAATACAAAAACAAAAATCCTTTATTGGCTATTTAAATATAAAAAGCTCCACAGTTCTCTGTGTTGGTGTTTAACAGACTTCTGGTCATTTTATCTTTAGACCACAAGAGGGCAGCAAAAGGCAGCGAAGAAATAAAGTAAACTGTTGTCTGCAGTTTACTTTGGCACAGTTGGAGGTTTGTGGCTGTAAATGTGAAATAAAGTTTAAACCAGACCAGTGAGGAAACAGGAACACTTTCAACTTTTACACTTTTTGTTTTAGCAACAGGAGAAAACATGGAACGGGGAAAAACTGGAAATGTGACCGTGCTGCAGATTTTTCCATGAATTTAAAGACACTTTATGAAAAAATACATGAGAAAAAGTGAAGTCAGGGTTTACTGTAATAAAATCCATTTGCGTTAAATCCAGAACAATAGACGACGACTTGTACTGCAGCACCAAGTTGGATGAGAGGGAGTCAAGTGTCTTACTGCTGAAAATATTCACCTCACAAGCTGTGGCTGCTTTAAAACAGAAGAAACGTGTTTCTATCAGGTCAGTCTCCACTTTTTATGGTGAGGAAATTAATAAATAACAATCAATCCGTTATAAGTTTCATGCTTCCATGATGCTGTGTGATTGATTTTTCTTCAGCAGGAACAAGAAAACCGGTCAGAGTTTATGAGAAGCTAAAACCTGCTGGTTTAGACCAAAGCATATTCATGTGTAAGAATGGTCTAGTCAAAGTCCAGACCTAGATCTTCCTGAGAATCTGTAGCAGTTTAAAAACTGGTGTTCACAGATGTTCTCCAGGTGGAAACTTTAGCTGATAGAGAAACAATAAAAAATGGGGTTGAATACAAATTCACACCACACTTTTCAGATATAAAATCCCAGAAATATAAATTGAAGTTTTTGGTTGTAAGGTGAGAAAAGTGTTTAAAAATATGTGAACAGTCATTAAAAATCATTTTCCTCCTTAGTTTTGACACTAAGAGTCCTGGACGTCCCTAAAAACTCGCTCAGAGAAATCCTTGTTTCTTATCCAAGAATTGTAATTATGTAATTAGTCTGTGGGCTGCAGACCATCGTTAAAGTGTGTCGTTTATTTGGCAGGATTACTAACTGCTATCCCAGAGGAACCGCGAAGAGAAATGAAAAGGTTTGGTGCCGACGGCGGCATCACGGCCTCTGGCGTGGGTTCAGCTCCGGTTCAGCCTGGCAGCTCAGCAGGCCGAAGCTTTTAGGAGGTTCAGGTTCCTCTGAACAGCCGTGTGTGGCCGAGTCACAGCTGGTAAAAGTTTATCCCAGAGCTCGTACCACTGCACGCTGTCGACTTTGTGCAAAGAAACAAAAAGTACTGTTATGCAACAAACACATGAGGCGAGAAATGCTGAACGAAGTCAGACAACAACAGCTGAAATCTTTTGGGGGAGAAGTTTCTGAACCAGGAAAGCGTTCGGTTCTGAAGGAAAACTCCTGACAGGTCTTCAGCACGGGGGTCATGACCTCCTGCTGGGGGTCATGACCTCCTGACCCGGGATCGACAGAGTCCTGTTTATTTAGACTTTTTTTTATGTAGTTTTGTCTTTAGATACACATCAACATGAATCCAGAATGTAACAAATTGATAAAATGAGATCACATTGTCTTGTTTTAATAATTTAACACCTTTCTAACTATGGAGAGAGGAATGGGCCAAATTACAATAAATAACTTCTGAAATATTTTTAAAATGTGACATTTTTTAGCTGGGAATAAATACAGATCTTTATTAAGTATCTGGATTTTATTTTTAAAAATAGATATATTATTGTGATCACATTGTTCGGTTTAATTCATTTAACAACCTTCTAAATATGGAGGGAAAAACATGCCAGATTACAATAAATAAATAACTTATGACCTGCAGTTGCTTCTTTTTCTTTAAATTGTTCTAATTTATTTATCACAAACTGGGTGAGCAACTCCAGTCTCTATATCTTTATTTTGGGCTGAAACATCTCTAATAAATTTACCAGAAAACGTTAGCCGGTGTAGCTAGGATCAACATTAGCCCTGCCCACTAGCTAACCTTATAATTAATTCTATATTTATTGAATCATTCCTGTATCATACTGACACTTTTAAAAATTAAAATGTCCTGAACCGGGTCTCCATCCCACTGAGTGACCTCAGATTTCAAGAGAAGCTAACAGGAACGTCTCTGGTCGAAATAAACGTTTGATCAGGCAGGAAGTGAAGAAACCAGGAACCCAGAAGGAGTCGCAGTAAGATCCGGATCACAGGAAGGCCTTCTGCTTCTTCTTCTACACTAAAGACCAAATAAACAATTTTTAACTATTAGACGTTTAATCAGCTTTATTTAATATTTCATTTGCTTGCTGTAGCATCAATAAGCTATGTTTGGTTTGCTTTCCTTGACTAACAAAACATTAAGATAACTTCTATCCATCTGTTAGTATCTGATAATTAGCCTCCCACTGACAGTTTCAAGCCCTGGGAAACCACCACGGTTTGATGAATGAGTTCTGTAAAATCTGCTCTAACTAACTTAACGACCTCTGACCTCTTTGCTTGTCTCACATCCGATCAGTTCTTTGTTTCTTCCTGAAGCTAAAGTGTTTCCTTCCTGTTTATGGGAGTTTGTGTTTATTTGCTAACAGGCAGCACATCCAACATCTGACTTCTGGAAACATCATCATCCAGCTACTAGTTCTTTAAACATGTTTGCTATCCGTCCTCCAACCTAAACGTCTGTGTGAAGATTCCTGCTCCGTCTCTTCCTGTGCTTTCCTGCCGCCGGATGCCAGATGGGCCACCATGCTTTAATCCGGAGCTTTATCACACAATCTGGCTGCCGTCTCTCTGATGTTCCAGTGTTTACTTTCCCTCCGTTCTGCCGGCCTGCCCTCTCATCGTACCCCGCCAGCAGGACTGTTCAGTTTTCACGTCCCTCATCATCTGCAGCTTCTTTTATCCTCTGTTAAAAGCAGGAGCGTGATGTTTGCTGTAACATTTGATCTCCGCAGGTTATTTTCTCTTTACTCTGAGCCCGACTGGCTCCAGATCGTTTGTGATTTCAAACTGAGATCTCAGACAGATAAGAGTCTCTGCTTCCTTTGTGGAAGAGCAGGAAACAGGAATGATTCATTCATTCATTCATTCATTCATTCATTCATTCATTCATCTCACAATACACCCTCCAAAAAATTTAACTGAAAAAGCAAAGGATAAAAACAACAAAGAACTAAAAGGTTTAGCATGGAGTCAATCAAATTAAACGAGAAGATAAAGATATTCCACCTGAAGCCATTTAGCTCCCGCACTAAAGAAGGAAAAGTGCAGCTTTAAATTCCTGCTCCTGCGTTTGCATCCAGTTACAGAGAAAAACAGATTTCCAGACAGAGATAAACGGAGAGCTAAAGGTGAGCAGTAGAACCGAACAGAAAGGAGTTACGATAAACGGATCAAAATACTGATGGATTAAAAAAAACACACAGTTTAAATAAAACAGTCTTTAAAAAAATGTGAACAGCAGACAGTGCAGGGTTTGTTGTTATACAAGAATATTCTGAAGGGATATTAAAAACAATTTCCATCAAAAAAGTTTGAAAATGAACAAATAAGGCCATTTTATTTCAAATGGAAAAACGTGATCTTAGTGATCTGGAACTTTTATATGTTGTGAACTTTTTATTATTTAG